AGGAGAGCAAAGCGTGTCAAGATAGTTGCAGAACAACAACAAACACTAGCAAAGAAAAGAAGAAGAAACACAACGGCGTTAATGTTGGATAATATTCTCTTACTGTTATGACATAACTTCAGCAGCCTGTTCATTTTTAATGAAAACAGACAATTTCGGTTCACAGTATGTCATATACAAATCATGTGGTAGATGACCACTTGATGTGAGTAGCCTCATAACAGCTTCGACTGAACTTAGGAATGCATTTTTGCACAGCTTCTCAAAAGTGAGGAATTGCTGCTTTGTTTCGTCACTGGAATCGATGGAAATGATGATGTTGCCCACAAGTTTGCAAATTCGCAATGTTAAATAGTAACGCTTTATTTTAACCCTCTATTTATGAATGGAATAGAAAGAGTAAATAAATGCTTTAGAGCATACTATAAGACATTTTTATTATAAGGACTTTTTTAATTGTTTATTCATCACTGACAGCTTCCACCTACCTTTTTCTCCTGTTAAAATTGAGCCCTGAATTACACATATGATGTTGGACAATTTAAAAGATCATTTTGCTAGTCAAGAAAGTCGCTGTTTGGGAGTTTACCTGACTTTCCAGCACTTTGTGTGTCGTCTCTGTTTTGCCTCTCATTAGTTTGAGCGTGTGAACGAGCACACATTTGGAAACATAGTGCTTGCATCTGAAACCTCACCTAGAGGCCGTTGAAAACCACATATGGCCCCTTTAAAGAAGATCCTATTATAAATATATGTATTGTATTTATTACTCTGGCAATCATTTATAAAGAAATACTTGGGAACTGAGCAAATTCCATCTGCTAATGAAGGCCATGAGATGTGGCTCAGAGTTGTGCCAGAAGTCTGGCATGTGGACTTTGGGTTAAGAATTTCTCAAACTGAGGTCAATGAACTTTCAAGCTCAACATGTCTTGATAACGTGCATGAACAGTTGATAGATGTGTCATTACACATAAAGATCTCTTCATGTGTTAGTTTATATATCAGTAAATGTCATTACTTTAAAATTATACTGAGTTATCAATAATTCATAGTATTGTTAATATACCAGATAAAAACTTTTGTGTCGGTTAAACGGTCATTTGAAAAATTAAAAAATTAATCTGTAATGAAAATAATCATTACTTGCACGCCCTACCTTCCACACGGAAAATAATTGATCTAAACAGGTGAAATAATGATAAAGTTTTCTCTAGTTGAATTGAGAGACAAACAGACACATTGATGAATGTTACATAAACATACATGATATAAAGAATAATGTGAATGAAAGCAATCAAATATTTAGCACAAAAGACATGGAGGGATTCTTACCTGCATCAGGTCGGCCACAGCCAGGTTCATCATGAACACAACCGCCTTCTTGGTTTCTCTGACATAAGCCCTGAATACCCAGAGCGCCAGCACGTTACCCAGCAGACCTGGTGCCAAGATCACACCGTACACCACTGCATACACATAGTGCTGGTATGTGCGGAGATCTGCACTGTCTTTACAGCTGTTGTTGGCAAAGCTCATCTTAAGCCAAGGGCCGTTTACTGCCTTGTGAACCAACAGGAAGCTTGTATCAGGAAAGCTGCTTGTTGTCTGGTGATGAAAGTGTTTGAGCGCCCATGCTGTCCGTTATGGCGAGGAGGAGTTCATGCTTCTTTTGGTGAAAAAGTGTGTCCAGCGCTGATACACTGTTGATGCTTCGGAACACGTTTAACCCCAATCCCTAATCTCTTGCCCAGTGCATAATGGGATAAATGAAAGCAGGTTTCTGTAGAAAACAGTATGACAGCATGTTTTACATATTGCACAGATAATGATCAGGTTTTGAGAAACAGACACGATGTACAGCACTCATATATGCAAACAAACTCGCCAAACAAGGCCTCATTTTTTTGTACCAAGTGTTTTAATATGCACCACACAATACAGTGTTTGTGCGTGCAGCTTTTGCAGTGCCATTTACAGTTACTATGCAAACCCACAGAGATGCTATAATCTCCCACGTAGCGCTCACTGTTGAGCGCCACCAACTACAGGGTAGCCTACATTAAGCCCGTGTGAAACGCCTCACAGCAAGGCGTCAGTGAAACAAGTGTGGTTAACAGGTCAGACCAAGACCAACCTGTCCTCTGTGCTTAGATATGAGGAACAGCTCTGTCTTTGGTAAATCTACCGTTTCAGAAAAAGTGACACCTACATTATGCGTTATGACATGCAGCACAAAACAAAAGTAATTTCAGAAGATTTAAAAAGTCTTTAGGTAACCTTAAACCCTAATGAACTTCAGATATTGATTATAGCTTAACAAATGGAAACACACAGTAATGTCTGGAGCTGAACTTCCAGTTTGTAGGCGTGATCCACCTACTTCTGTAAACATGAGTAGCTGTATGGCTGTGTTCCTTGCTCTTTGCTTCAACCCATGTAAACTGTTTAAATAAGCACAACGTGAGCTGTGACGATTCACTGCTTCTTTTAAATGCAGCTGTGTCTCATATAGTCTGATTTGACTTGTACTAAACTCATCCTGGCTAATAATGGAACAGAAAAAGAGAACTTGTTTTGTTTTCATGATTCTAGTTGTTTACACGTACAGCATTTTCCTGATGATTTCACTGACTGCATTGTTGAACTGAAAGTTACTGTTAGATTTGAGTCCTGTGGTTCCCAACCAATGGGATTGCCCCCCTCCCCCAAAAGGTCACAAAATAAATCTGAGGGGCAGTGAGATGATTAAAAATTTTTTTTTTTACTTTTGACACCACAACTAGACAATTGTGACCACTGATTTAATCTTTAACAATGTGTTTTAGGGTGGAGTTTGGGAATTTGGACTTTCAAGCTCAACATGTCTTGATCACATGCATGAACAGTTTGTTCATATGTCAGTATAGCTTGTATTTATAAGCTTGTCATGCGTTTTTATTTTAGATCTTAATCTGGAAAGTAGCTATAGTAACAATAGCTGTAAAAATAAATGTGGTTGAGGAAGAAGTACAATATTTCCCTCTGAAATGTTTCAGAATAGAAGTGTAAGTACTGGAAATACTCCAATACCTCACAATTTTACATAAGGACATTACAGTACAATACTGTACTTTCCACAACTGCTTCCTGGGGAGCATATTAGCGAAAAGAGGAATTTTGTACACAAGTAAATAGGTTAAACAATGGAAACTCTTCCACAGCACCCTGACCTCTGCCTCTGCTCTCAGACTGCCTTTTATCCAACTTCACAGCACTCAGTAACATCTCCCAGTGGACCTTCAGTCCCTAGCCTTCCTTTTAGCCTCACTGACCTTTGACCTGCATGCGACTGTTTTAGTGTGATTCTCCTCTTGTTACTTACACTTTTGCACATACAGTGTGCTTCTGTCAGAGGCTGTCTGTATGAGCTCAAACAACTTTGTAGTGATGATGACCAATAACAGGTCTTTCAGTTCTCCTTGGGAACTTATGGCAGTAGTCTTGTGTGTACAATGATCAAGGCCAGTGGCTACATGTCTTATTATTATATATCGGATGCCTTTGGAGCTTGTTGATATTTGGGTACACTGGGTTAGGGTTAGGGGTATGTTAAGAGTTTTAAGAGTTATTTGACATTTCTCTGACCTTAAGATTCAGCAGTTTTAGTCCTCCGATCTTGCCAATGGAAACACATAACTTCATCCACTGTGATTCATCTCTCCGTGGGTTGTTGGAGCGTTACTGCTTTTCCACTCAGACACGACATCTGGCCTCGTGTATCAGCACCCAAAATGTGAGCAACGAGGATCCAGCTCCCTCCACGTGTGCTGTTCCAGCACACAAAACATGTCATGATCACAATCCCAGGTACTTTTACAAAGACAGATAAAGGAACACACACTCTAACACTGACCTACACACACTCATTCACACAGCTGAACATAAGTGACATTCCTCATGTTGTGATCCCCCATGAGGCATGACTCCACACTGAAAGCATCCAGCTGTTACAGCCTCTCACACAAAAGCTTAAACTATCTGTTTAAAAAAAACAAAGAATCTATTGACAACATTGACAGTTGATATCTCACCTCTGTCTTCAAACTTGCGTGGAATCAAAAAGCAGAAGGATGAAGCATCAGCCAACATACATGCCACCCCTTGCCTCCTCCCCCTGTTGCTATTCACTGTCCCACCCTTTCGCACTAATTTTTCTCTCACTTTATCTCTTGTTCTGCCTCCCCAAATTCTACTGTTTTTTTTCTTTTTTTCTGTTATGTTATTTCCGGAGTTTGATTTATAACCATGTTCCCTCTATATCGCTATCTGTTTTGCTTTCTTTGTGCCTCTGCTGTAATGGAGTTTGAGCACACATAGGGCTTCCTGTGCGTGTGTGCGTGTGTGTGTGTAGGGGGGGGGGTTTACAAGAATGTTTGACACCACAACTTCTGCTATTGCCATTGCTACTTTTTTCCTTGTGGACGACATCTACCTGCCATGCATGTCTTTTTGAAGACAGATGAACACATTGTAAAATATTAGGACTGAGAATCAGTACTAAAACTAGAAACAGATCATTTTGGCGCTATTTTAAAACTGCTTTTGGTTTCATTCTCTCACATATTTTACATGATAAGTTCAGTTAGTAAATAGCAGATACAGTATGATGTAATACTAGAGTGTGACAGCAAAAGAAATTGGTGTATGTTTTTATTTGGTCTGTGAATCAGACACCTGGCAAGGAGGGCTGTATAATACTGGTGGTGATGGGGGGGGGGGGGGTAGCAGATGCAAGAGGAGGTAAGGGCGGGTGGGGTGACATTCAGTTTGTAAAGCCAACCACAGAGCCTGGCAGTTATCGGTTTTCCTGAACTGCCGGAACTGCTACTTACTGTCTGACAGCACTGTGCATTGTGAGAGGAAGTACAGAAAAAATGTGTCGGCACCTGTTTTTGTTTGCCCAGAAGAAACCTCATTATGAAAGAACCGTGGATGCACAGATACTCAAACACCATAGCTCCAGATAAGACAGAGAACGCAGACTTGCTTTTATTTACAGTACAATTACATGCATTTACATACAGCTTTGATAATTATGATATAGCTTATTTGAAGTTCTTAACATCAAGGTCAAAGCTCTTTGGGTCAGTTGGGTCAGACGGCTGCGACATGTGAAACCATTTAGTTGACCAACGTCAACCATGCCAGTCTGTTTCTATGTTCAACAGAATGCCTTACAGAGATGCATCTGTTTGTCGTGTTTAGCTGTCTCATTCCCTAAAGAAAATCTGAATAACTCTGAATAACATTACTCCCTGTCTGAGCAGCTACTCTCCATGCTCGTCAGTCTGTGCTGCGCAGGACGCTGGGTAGGGGAGTTGATCGAGGATGAGAGGAGCGACGCGGTGAAGGAGGAGGTGCGCCTGCTGAGGTGCAATCTGAACTCGGCTGTTAAAAAGTAATAAAGCAGAGGATTGAGGCAGCAGCTCAGGCTAGCCATGCACAGGGACACTGGGTGGAACTGACTCACAGCAAGCTTCGTCGCACAGTGGGACACTATGTCCTGTGATACCATCAGGTAGAGCAGGAAGTTGAGGTGGTAAGGGGCAAAGCAGAACAAGAAGAGGGCAGAGCAGCTCAGCACCATCCGTAGAGCGCGCCGCTTCTCACTGTCCACATGCTTTTCATGATATTTATCAGAGTTGGAGGTGACTGACTGGAGTCGGCTGCGTCCTGAGGAGTTGAGTGCAGACGGGTTTTGCTGATCCTGTCTGTCCATCTGTTTTAGATTGAGGGACTGGGCGATGCGGATGGAGCTGTAACTGATGCAGGCTAAAGGAATCAAGAAACCAAACAGCTCGGCGAGGGCCATCATGGGGACCAGCACAGAGAGGGACAGACGACGCATGGGCAAGTCTTTAAAACAGGTCAGGTCTTTGGAGACGGTGCTAGAGCTTGAGCTTAGTTTGGTGTAACCTGAGGGTTGTTGGGTAGATGTGGCATTCAGATAAAAGGACATGTTATAGACTGTGTTTGTCCCGAAGCTAAGACTGCTGCTGCTGCTGCTGCTCCGCATCAGAATGAAAGGCGTGCAGGCCAGACTAACAACCACCCACACTATAATACTGATCAACAGGTCATAGCGTCGCCTCCACCGGCGAGCGATAAACGGGTCGAGCAGGAAGACACACCTCTGCATGCTGATACACACCTGGAAACAGAAAAAATAGTGATATGAAAATTACCAACCAGATTTAGAGCCACAGGAAGTACATTTGTTCCGAGAATTGAGGAGAAGAGAGGGAGGCACGAGTTTAGACTTGAATGACTTCCCGTTATTCCCATTTAAATAGATGAGAAATCGCTAAACTGTTCCAGTATTATTTTCACATTACTGCCTGCTTACCAGGAACACTATAGCAGCATACATGTTAAGGTATTTGAGGTAGAAGCAGAATAAGCAGATGCCTCGTCCAAAGGGCCAGGTGTGTGTGAAGTAATAATAAATCCTGAGAGGCAGAGAGAGGATGTGGGCCAGGTCTGCTAATGCCAGGTTTATCATGAAGATCACTGCCTTGGTCTTCTTACTGTGGGGCAACATGCAGATGAAGTCAGCCATGCCCAAGAATCTGTTTGAGCTTTTTACATGCTCATGTTAGTGAGTGAAGGCTACCTTATATGTCTGCAGAGGACCCAGAGAGCGGTGGTGTTGAGCAGCAGCCCGGGGATGAAGAGCAGCAGGTAGAAGTACGTGTACATCTTCTCCATGCGCTGGTCCCAGCCGGTCATGTTGTGGCCACATCTTGAGGAGGAGTTGGCCAGGGACTCCCCCCACGATCCAGACGTATTCAGAGCCATCACCTCTCTCACACATACATTTCCTTTGGTCAATCCTTCATCATTTTACTCAGCAACCTTGAATACCTGAAAAGGAAAAGGGAGAGTTGAATGTTATGGGACAAATGCTCCTAAGAATATGTGATACATTTCTAAAAGAACTTCTTATTACCGATATATTGGGGTGGTGATGGCGCAATAGATAAGTTGCATGCCTTTGGTGTGAGAGACCCGGGTTCAATTCCTCACTGTGACCCATCCACCAATGTGTCCCTGAGCAAGACACTTAACTCCTAGTTGCTCCAGAGGCGTGCGACCTCTGACATGTATAGCAATTGTAAGTTGCTTTGGATAAAAGCATCAGCCAAATGAATAAATGTAATAATAAGAAACCCTTTACAAAGACCTTATAGGTTGTAACTAATGGCTTTTTAATATTAATAAGTCATTTAATAATGCTTTATAGATCTGCTATAAGCCATTAATGAGGACACTTGAGTTGCCAGGTTGTGAAATATCTCTGGTTGGCAAAACAATCTCACCTCAAGGTGCATTATGAGACTGTTTTGCCAACTGCATTTTCCGATTTAAAAAATCTACTTTCAGTCTTTCATCATAACGCTTTGGCTGATCTTTATCATCCTGCAGCATCACACTAATTTGTATTTCTCACTCTTTCTAATAACTCATCAAGTCTACAGTCATACACTGATACACTCAGATACACTTACAGAAATATACAAAACACATATGCATAGATTAAGGAAATGATGCAATGTAAGCACTTGGACATGTGCTCTCTTGCAGTTAAGTATACTGGTATACAGTTATTAAAGTTAATTAGTCATTAAAAGGGTACTTCACTGATTGCAGTTCAGTTTACTCAAAAGTGCTACTCAGCCTTTAATAAAGGTGTTTTTCTACAGTCCAGCTGGTCTGCAGTTATGAATATTATTGAGTGGTTGATAAATGTATTTTGGTGTAGGTGCAGCCTTTTTCCAGAAGATAAGTGGTCCAACTGTCCATTGGAGTCTTCCTCATGAACGAAAGAGCTGGCAAAAAAAGCAAGCAGTTAAGCTAGTGGAGGATAAAAAACTGCCAACTAGATATTTTCCCAACCTGGCAACTCAAAAGTTGTTCTTACTAATGGCTTATAGCTAAATGATTTGTCAAATATATATAAAGCCATTGCTTGTAACTTACTGTCTCATTAGAAAAGTGGTGCCCAAATATGACATGAAATACACACAAATTCACAGACAACAAATGCAATATTAAAATCCTATTATTAATAAATGGAACAGGAAATGTGCGGTATGCTGCCCCAAAATTATTTTACCCTGTTCATGTATATATCATCTTGCTGAATCATGGTTCTGTTCGTATGGAAATGTTTGGAGTGTTTTTGCTGGTTGCCAAGTTAAAAAGGTTTATGAAAATACTCAATAGAAAGTGCAATAAATCAGAGATGTCGCTGTGTGTCTAGAGATTGCAGTAGGAAATGTTTGGAAGAAGAACAGAGCATTTAATCTGCTTATCACTGAAGCCTCACCCTTCCTTCTGCCACCAAGACGGGGCCGCACCCTTCCTCTGTCTGCACCAGAGGGGGAGAGAGGGAAACAGCAACAGTGTTTGGTGCTTTAGTGTATTTTTGACCAGTTTTGACTCATGCTCCTATTGGCCGTTGCAGCTTTCAGTTAGCCACATTCAGCCACCGGAGATGCCCCCACATCACCTGTACAGTTGCAAGTTGTGCAACAGTATGTCCTAATACTTGAGTTTAAGGAAGGTATTATATGACGCAAGTCAACTTTTGCGGTTACTTATAAATTGGGCACTTGCATTAGCTGTCATCGCTTTGAACACTTTCTCAAACTAACTTTCTCAGTCTTCAAATCAAATCACTGATGACATTTCATAAGTTAGATGGCAATAACAGATTCAAAACTTTTTTTTTTTGCATTTAACGTCTAATTTGCCTTTTCTAGTGCCTGTAACATGAAACTTGGAATATGTACACACTGATACATTTTGACACTCCATCAAATGCTAAGTGAAAGAGTACTTAATAACAAATTTCCTGTCATCAGCAAAGTGGAAAACGTGACTTTGACCACAAATTTTCAGACGAAGCACAGCAACGTGACGTCCCCACAGACATGATTTCTCTGAACAAAAGCGGTGTCATTACCTTGTGCCTAGATGATCAGCATGGAGGGGAGAGGTCAGAGCCAGGAGTGCCCACCAGTGAACGCATGCTCCAGTAGCTTCACACTACTCTGTAAGCAGCAGGCTGACGCAGAGACAACACTCCTCCTTGAGCTGTGCAGTTGCAAATGGGGTCAACAGCAGACCTTCTTACCACACTTTACCAGCAGAGAGAAAAACCTGTCCGTGTGTGCATGTGAAGTCAGCCTTAACTTGCTAGTGATGTGGCTTCTGTCTCAATGTGCTGCATGTGGTGATGCCGTCTGGTGTGAGGTGCTTTCACACTCAACTGGCTCTTGGTTTCTTAGGCACTGTGACGAGGGGAAGAGGAAGCTCTGCCTTCATACATGTGAGTATTTGTGCCTGAAATTTACACACACCGTATTGGGCACATTTTGAGAGTGTGTGGTTAAGAAATAAGAAAATGACAATGCTTGTGTTAATCTAAGATAAGACAGACACGTGGGCAGGCAGATTACTTCTGACATGTTGAAGATATCTACAGCAGGTGATCAAGTCAGTGCACCGCAAATCATCCAGTTTGTATGTACACAGCTACACTACTATACTGTGTTATAGTGTAAATAAATTTGCATCCTGCAAAGTTTGGAGATGTGATAATAATGAGAGTTCATCCACTTCCCCCTTTCAGATGCAGCACTTCCTTTTTTAAAGCAGTTGATAGCTTTAATTTTTTAAGGTAGATTTGTGTGCATAGATGTTAGACTTTTAATGTGTGCTTTAGTCCTCTAAAGCTTCAGAAAGGCTAGATATTATTTTTCTGTGGGTAGTGATAGTGAGAAATGCTTATTTAGAAATGGTTATGGTTTCAGTTGTGTGCTTCTAGAAAAAAAAGGATGCAATGCACAGCAACAGTTAAGCAAAACTTTGCGGTTTCACCTCAAAATGCACAGGTCAGTGTCATATCAGGGCAGGATGACTGCTGGCAAATATGCTGAACACATCGAAACTCATGACAGTTGGTGACCACAGGAGTCTGTTCTCTAAATCTATGGCTTCACTAAAACATTTATTCTAACGCATGGCCACTAGAGGTCAGAACAGGCTAATACTCACAGTTTACTGAGCTACTGAGTAATCAGTTTTTTCCTTCGACAGTCAGAAGGGCAGATTGCTCCTTTAAAGGACACATTTGAAGGGTTGCATGTCTTCTGTTGAAATATATCAACACATTCTTGACATGAACTACTCAAGGGGTAAAAGCCAGTTCTTGCATATTTTTCTACACTCCCACTCTTCTTATTTCCCGCTCTACAGTTCCTATCTACACTCCAGTATATTAGTCCTCTTCTCTGCAACCCTTGACCCCAGATCCCTGAGTCCACCTTCTGTTGTCTCTGTCTGCTGCTGGATGCACATGGTCACATCACTCACACTACCAGAGAGGCCTACTAGGATTACCAGATCTTTTTTTCCTGTTTCTCGCACTGTGTACATACCACTGCTGCAGGTGTAGAGGCCTATTAAATTTATCTCTGACTCTGCATGGTTCTACGAAAGAATGGATAAACAACTTCTACTAATACCTTGTTTGATGTCCCAAAGTGGTTCCTCTGTCATGCCGAAGCCTGTAGTATGCATATAGAAGCTGTCAGCTGGTCCTTACAGTAGCTCAAAGCATGGTCACTTTAAAAGGCTAACACACAAGCAAGCCCGGGAACTGTTACTGCTTTATGTGCCCTTTTGGAGCTAAGCTATGTAGGTTTATGTTACTTAGACAAACTGCCGACAGAGAAAGCAGGCAGGCAAAAACGGGAACAGGTGAGCGTAACATAGTGCCCCCTGGGTAATGCAGTTTATTTAGGGCCAATGTGAATCACCCATAGAACTTGATATGGAGAGAGCAGATAAGAGTACCGGCAGCTTATGATAAGGGCTGGTGCACAAGAAAAAGTCACAGTACATCAAAGAGTAAAATGTAGAAGTGCTGGTACTGTGTACCAGTGAGTACCGGTCCACATTAGGCCCCAGGGATTGTAAATCGTTTTATCCAATAAAGAGTAAAAGAGGGAATAAAAGCTCTCCAAGCTAGCTGGGTTACTAACTGTCAGTAAGCATGTTTGTTAGCACGGTCGCTAACAGTAAAGTTATATCAACAGCACTGTACTGGTAATTCTTGGGGCCAATATAATAAAACAATTATATAAAAAAATATATTTTTTGCTAATCACCAGCCCATAATAGGGGCAGCAGCCCATTGGTTCATTTTCTATAATGACACTAGGCAGATCCAATCAAATCTCTTGGGCCTGCCCCACCCCTCCCCCTCTGTCCTCTCTGTTTCTGGTCAGATGCCGTGGTTCAGAGCCAAACATCTGTGGATGAAGTAGGAATTGTCAAGATGGATTAGCAATAACGAAAGAAGGCGGGTGAAGAGAATTTGTGGGCCAAACAAATTAAGTATCTACATGCTGATGCTGCCAAATGTGCAAAAATCACAGATGTGTTTGCTGCAGGGTCAGCAGCAGTAGCCTCAACATCTACGGTGACAGCAGTACTCGCCATTATGCAGCAACAGTTGGAAGAAGGAGATGTGGTTGGCCATGGCCACTGCCAGGCAGAAGAGCAAGAACAGGAGCAGGAAGAGTAGGAGTGTGACAGAGAAGCTGAGGAACAGAGTGAGCAGGAGAGTGTAGTGGTAAGCAAGGAGTAGCAAGCAGGAAAACAGGGATTACAAAGAGCGCAGGGAGGTCGTGTGTGTGCCTTGCCATGATGACGATGATGAACGATGATTAACTTAATTGATGAACGCTATCATAAAATGAGACTGTCAGCTATTGCTGATTCTCACGCAGTCAGCCAATGCCAAATAGTGTAGCATAAGCTATTTGGCATTGTTCTTTGTAACCTAGAATAGTTCCCCAATGTTGTCACGCTGACTATTAACGATATGTATTATATATGGTATGAATGACTATCCGTGAGTTATACTTTCATTTGATGAAAAAAAAATTAATTATACTTCTGGCAGAGATTTTTCTTTGACAATTACTTCTACTTCTACTTCTACTTGAGTACCGATATTGTGTAGGGATGCACCGCAATGAAAATTCTTGACCGAAACCAAATATAATGAAAAACTTTCCTGAATATCGAACAAGGTTTTTTTAACATTTTCTACCATTTTCTCCCCAATTTTTTTACCATTACATAAATTAAATAGTCAAAATGTGCTTTTTACTCAGTGTTTCCCACAGGATATGGAGAGACTATGGTGGGTGGGTCCGAGGCCCGAGAGCGTCTGGTAAAGTAAATTACATGTGTCCATTTATTTTTAATGTACACATGATGTAATATGTTTTATACTTTCTGTGAATATAATCCAATTAATCTTATTTCCATCCTGTATATACACCTTATTTTGAAAACCGGACATCGTCACGTGTATCCTTGCGCTAAATTCATCAAGTCCGACCCAATTTGATAAATAATGTTGTATGTGGTTCTCATATCGCGCAACATGAAGATAGCCTCTCTTCAGGTAGGACTCTCATCCTGCAACACTTGTCTTTGTAAAGAGAAGAACTGACAGGATAAAGTCGTTAACCTGCCTGTCAGCTCGCACTGGTCAGTTTCAGTGGATTTACCATAAAGGCTTGAATACGTGTGTACTCCAAATTTAGGTGCAGCTGGCTTAATTGCCTTCTCACTTCTTTTGAGTCTTTCTCAGACACTTTAAAATGCTTCCACACTGCCAACATTGTAATTGTAAATTAATCAACATAATTCTTTGGTAAAATTTATTTGGCCTTTTGACTTTTTTTTTTGCTATTTTCAACCGATTAATTAGCATTCGGTGCATCCCTAATATTGTGTACTCCACAGCTACCTCTGATCACCAGGGAGTCCATCCAAGTGAGTCCACTGCTCTTACTACTCAGCTTTGTAGTGGTTTGGGGGAATAGTACAATACGCATATTTAAAGAGACCACAAGGATGGTGTACTCGTGGGTGGTTTTTGACTGATTGCTTGTGGCCGGTCTGTGCCATAAATGCTGCCGTTTATCAAATCAGTTTTTAATCAGTTGGTACAAAAGCATTTGTACCACTGACTCCTCTCACAACTGTCCTCCTGACACAGGAGGGTTAAATACAAATGGACGGTGCAACACAGCTAAAAAGCTAAGAAAGCTTCCTCCACCCTCTATCTGTCAACAATGGGAATTGTCTGTCCGAGGTCACAAAAGATGTACTAGATAGAGAAAGCAAAGACAGATTCACTTTGTCCATTACAATGAATTTGATTTTACTACGATTTTGCCATGTACCATCTCCCCTGGGGTCCTGCGTGATAAAAGTTTATGTCTGATAGCTTGCCTTTTTTCAATTAAAGTATTCACCAAATGGCCCACAAATTCATACATGCAAACTCCTGCATGTGCTGACTAATGCAGTGTAACACGATGATTTGGGGTATTTATTCAACAGTTTTCACTCGTACTTTGGAGCGTGTGCACATTTCTGTGTGTAAGAGACTTTGAGCAGATCTCTAGTCTTAGGCCAGATTAAGACAGAGAGACCTCATTCAGAAGCAAACAATGGACCATTGCTCCAGTCATAATAAGCATTTGGCCTGTGAAACAGCAAACAGGCCAAGGTCCTCGACTGGAACAGAACTGCCCTCTGCTCCGAGAACAAGATTGCACTTGCTGCTTGATGAAAATGAGGAGCCAGAGTAGAAAAAAACTCCTCCATGAGTTCAAACCTACAGTCAAGCTGACAAAGGCCTGTTCAGAATATGTTTGACCGATCCAGCAGGCACAAGGCAGAGGAAAGGAAAAATAAATGCAGCCACGAAAGCAATTCAAAACAGACATTTAATGGCCTCAAACTTCAACATGAGACACATTTAACACAGCAGGTCAGCACACTGCTGTGTCACTATAACAATGCTTCTCACCACACTAAAGAGTGTCATAACATTAATGGCTAAAATTATATAATGTACTATAAAAGCTTGAACTTCAACAATAAAACGTAAAGGCTCTGTGTGTTACAAAAGTAATAAACAGCATATTTAAAGAGTGTGGACGGATATCTCCCATCTTATCCACAATCCAGTGCGTTTGTGAGTGTTGTTAAGCCTGAGTGATGATGTGCTGAAGTCTTTTTAGAGGTACTGCATGTCTCTAGACAGTAGCCCTGGTGGGGCTGGATCTCTGGTCCTCGTAGTGTTCTCTCATAATAAACACACACAGATACATTCCTCTGCTCTAGATTAATCCATAAAGCCCAGGCAATACCTCAGGACTTACCTCAGGACTTAACTAATCTGCTGAGTTATGCGTTTGTCACTGCCAGGACCAAACAGCTGATTGCTTCATTTGTCAAATTCAGGGCTACTGTCAAACCCACCCTGTCCTTGTTTACCTTTTTTCTTCCCTGCTGAGTCAGAACTGGCTCTCAGACACCTTTGAGTCTTTTCCATTGCTGGCTGGAGTGTGTGTGTCTCTGGGGAGAGTGTTTGCTGTGTCCTGGGTCTCGGTGTCGCTGCGGGGGATACTCTCGGGCCGGGACACAGACCCTTTGCCTCCCATTGTCAAGCTTTTCTGGAAGCTCTCTGAGGTGAAGTAGTAGACCACAGGGTCCAGGCAACAGTTGAGGCAGGCCAGGCACAGAGTAATGGGGTAAAGAGTGCGGGCAAAGCGCTCCACAGCGCAGTTAGCCAGGGCCTGGGTCCGCACCAGGGCATACAGGAAGAGGATAGAGTTATAAGGGACAAAGCAGATGATGAAGATTCCCAGATGAACCACAATCATCCGCAGGACGCGTCTCTTGCTGTCGGAGCCACGACCAACAGTTACTGGACGCCGCAGCGTTCGCAGCACAAGCGAGGAACATACCAGGTTGGCCAGGAGGGGGAGAAGGAAGCCTACAATCTGGGAAATTAATAAGCATCACATAACTTTGTGGAAAGGTGGAAGATCACTGTTACATCTCTGGTTAGCCTAATAAAAAAGTGTTTCTATGTATGAGTATGTCTCTCCTTACTCACCTCGATGAAGATGGTGATTTTGGACAGGTAGGTCCTCCAGGTGCTCTTGGAGAAGCCCTCAAAGCATGTGGTGGCTCTGTTTGTGCTGTTAATGGTGGAGAAGAAGGTCACTGATATCCCCCCGCCTACGATGGTCAGCCACACGGCGGCACACACCAGCGCCGCGTTCCTGCGCGTGCGGATGGAACGTGAGCGGAAAGGGTAGACTATCGCCAGAAAACGGTCTACACTAATGCAGGTGAGGAAGAGCATGCTGCCGTAGATGTTGGTGATGAAGGCTGTACCTGATACCTTACATAATCCATCTCCAAATGGCCAATGGCGGTTAACATTGTAGAAGACCTTGAATGGCAGTGTAAAAACAAATACTAAATCGGATAACGCTAAATTAGTCATAAACATTGTGGTCTCGTTGCGCATCTTCATGCGGAAGCAGAACACAAAGAGGGCAGCACAGTTGGTGATCAGGCCTAAGACAAAGACCACACTGTAAACGACCGAGTACAGGTTGTACTTGAAGGAGTCGTCAATGCCGCAGTCCTCCATTCCAGTCTCGTTGAGCACCAGGCTAGCCATGGTGATGATTTAAACAGGAAGGGGGGCTCCACAGAAAAAGGGTACGCCAAGGCCTTCTGGAAGGGGGGGCGTCACGGAGGATATCTGCGGATCGGAGGTGTTAGTAAGGGATCCACCAGTCAAGTCCCCTCCAAGTCATCGTGGACATTCAGACACACAAATAGAGGCAGAGACCATCAGGATGCACTCCTGCAGGGCTGGTCAGTCATCCTGTGGAGAGAAAAGGAAAAGCACATGGTCACTTCCTCACTGTAAAAGTTGCAGACCAGGAAGCAAACAACTGCAGTTCTCCTTAAGATGAAGCATATGGTATACCTTCACAGAAAATGAAAATATACAATCTAAACACAATCTAAATCCTTTGCAGTGAAGGAAAAATACTTGTTTTTAGTCCATTTTCAATGTTGGCAGAGCTGTCCCATTGAGTTTATTTGCATGTTTGTCAGTGAGTATAGGCCTATATGCAGTTCAGTATAAACAAAGTTTATCTGTCCACAGGGTTTTAGTTCACATGGCAGTGTGGCATGTGGCATTCAGGACTGCGAGAGGCTAATGTCAGCCGGAGACACAAGCATGTACTGTAGATTAGGATGTAAAAAACACTTCAGCTACACTCATTCATCAGCCACTCTGAAAGACTAAAGTAAAATCTAAGTACAGAAAGTATCTAAGGCTGAGCTCCAACTGGAGGAAGTAAATAAAGCAGCGTGCTGCAGTGCAGAGCTGCTCCCACCATCACCCAGTAGTGTTGTCAAGAAACACAATAGGTTTGTTGTCAAACATGAACAATTCAAATGACTTTGACATTGTGAAAGAATATGCATTTTCTAGTCATTTACTGGAAGCTAAATATTTGTGTGCGTGTGTGATGTCAGAACAGGAACTAGATTGCTGGCAATGTGTTGAGTTTTTACGGCGCTATCGTATGTCCATCTCAGTCTGCTGTGTCATATAGACACGCTTGATCCTTTGATTCTGCATCCACAATACGTCCTTTTTGTATTGCGGAGGTGATGCCAAAAAAGTGATCTCATCATAAATACTGTATGTCCATTTTATGTTCTGTAAATAACTCGTTCTTCACATTTCAGATCATCTTTACTTTTCTTATTTGTTGACCAGCTGCTACAACAATTGTTCAATTCAGTCTTCAACTAAATCTAATGAAGTATTGCACATTTCCTTGTAACACAATATATATTACTCCAACTAAGTGACCGTAGATTTGCGTTTTTATAGAACAGCAGGCAACATGTATTAAAGCCCCTATGTGCACAATGTTTATGATTATAGCAATTATTCTAATGGCATACGTGTGTGGTGAAAACTGTTTGTGGCCAAGTCAGAAACAACTGCAAACCAAACAGTTGATACAGTAATGTACTGAATCGCTAAATATTTAAAGACTCTCTCAATTTTCCTCTCTAACTTCGCCTTTCTTTCAATCTAAAAAGGAAATTCCACCGATTTAACACACCAATGTCCTAGTTTCCTAATTTACTAGTGTGGAGTACTCCGCACCCAGCATGTGAAAACTGTTGTGTAATGTCTTCTGTGGCTTTGGAGGGAGCTCTCTAAAATCTGGAGAAAAAAAAGAAAATACAAACCGTAGCAATGTCATCAGGGTTATCTTGCCTTGGGATTAAAAGAAAAAATGTATTCAAAACTGAAGGTGTAGACTTAAAGACATGGTTGTTTATTAGGCAGGGGTGATCTAAGGAAAGACACCAATGAGTTTATTTGCATGTTTGTCAGCGTGAGTAGGCCTATATGCAGTTCATGTGTTATCAGTCAGTATAAATAAAGTTTATCTGTCCACAGGGTTTTAGTTCACATGGCAGTGTAGCACCACAGATTTGTGTTTTTATAGAACAGCAGGCAGCATGTATTAATGCCCTTATGTGTACAATGTTTATGATTATAGCAATTATTGTAATGGCATAAGTGTGTTCTGACATCACACACTCACAAATATTTAGCTTCCAGTAAATGACTAGAAAATGCTAGAGTTGTCTAGAGTTTTACCCACCCAGCCACAGCCTGTTCACCCTGCTGCCTTCTGGGAAGAGATATAGAACCTTCTGCTGCCACACCACCAGACTGCAGAGCAGCTTCCCCCCCCCCCACGCTATCAGACTCTTGAACTCTAATTCATCCTCAGCTGTATTGACTTGGACCATTATTTATCTTTCTTTACTAGAATCATTCTCAAAAAAACCTCCAACTTTATTTGCAATTTTAAATGGCTGCTGCACTCAATTTAACAAGCCAAACTGTCCTTATCTTGTGTTATACAGCAGAGCCATAGCAGCAGTGAGGTGGTCGGCCTTTGCCATCACTTGTAAAAATCTGTGTGAGTGTCTCTGGGTAAGATTCACTCTATCTGTCTTTTCACCATGCACACACACTTGCACAAATACACGCATACACACTCACACACACACAAAGGCAATGCTGTGAGTGTAAGCAGTCCATCAGCCCTGTCCTGTGCCAGCTGCAGTGTGACATCTTTACTGCGTTTTCACACGCCTCCCAGAAAGCCCTCCGCCAGCGTTCACAATGCCCTCACTGTACCCGTCTGTACCAAACACACACTTACATATGCACAAGTCTGCACACGTGCATACACAAGCAGGCAAAAACGTACATGTGCCAGTCCTCTCAATCACACACACACACTCTGTAGGGTTCTGTGTACTGTGGCTCAGTCCCAGGACCTCTGACAGTGACCAGCTTCATATTCAGCTGATGTTGTTTCTGGGAGCCGAGTCTATAGAACATTGAATTTGGCTGCTAAACAGTTTATGTTTGAAAGACACCACCTCAGACCAGAGCAGAGACACATTTAAGTATTTTGTGAACTCCTGCTGAGGAACTTCAGACCTACGCGAGCGTGTGTGCATGGATTTCATGTACAGGTCGTGGACAGCTGCACAGTTAAAGGGTTTCCCCCCGCCGTCGGCCGTGCCAGTGACAGAAACAGGCCTCTGGGACCCGCTGATCTGAACGGATCGAGTTCAGGCTCAGCTCACATCCAGCTGTTCCTTTCTCTCACGTGCTAGGAGGAAGGAGGCAGGGAGAGTTGAAGGTGGAGGACAGCCAGGCGTACACTGGACAGCTTCACTGCTTACAGCTGGAGTTGGTATACACAGTGTGTTTTTAATCAGAAAGGTCTTGTCAGAATAATGTCTCAAGGTTACACACTCAACCAATAATATCATGAATACATGGACAGGAATCCAGTGAGATTTATAAAGTTTAGGAAACAGTTGGTCAGTTAACCAAATCATCGATCCAATAGTTTAGATCATTTTAATTTCCTGGTTTCAGCTTCACAAATGTGAATTTTGCAGGTTTGTCTTCTATGGTAGTAATTTGAATATTTTGGACTATTGGTCAAACAAAACAAGTTCAAAAATGTCACTTTGGAAACTGGGAAAATAGAGACCAAATGACAATCAATAAAAATTATGAAATAACTGTGCAGCCTTAATGTTTTTAATTTTTTAAAGTTCAATTTTGGTTGAGACTGGAGGAAGTTTAGGCGCTGGCTGGATAGGGATTCAATCACCTACGTCTTGGGGCTATACAGCATAGCATACAAGTGTTTTATTGTAGCCCCAAAAACATTAGTTAAAAAATGTGATGAACATTAAATCTACAGTATCCCTTATTAAGTTCAGTTTTTGTAGGGGCTACTACATTTACTTAAACCACAACAGTTCAAAGGCTTGCCATGCACAGTAAATCTAAGCTCTCTACATCCTGTGGACTCATATTGTCAGCTCTACACAGCTGGTATGAAAGTACAAACGTTGTAGCTGAAACAGTACACACGTTCTCTTGTGTGGAAAGTAGCTACTGAAAAGTTTTGCTCCACTAGACAAAACATACTTTTGTCAACAACACACAAAAATGTTATTGTCTGAAGACAAAGCAGAGTAGACTTACTGGCAGCTGAATGGATGGTGACAGCTCACCTCGCGGTCACTGATGTTTGTCAGTCTGGCAGCAGTGCAGCGCGCAGCTGTCAAAAGAACTCCATACTTTTTCACTCAAATGTTTTGGTGCTGCTCAGTCGGCCTGGCTCGGAGTTTCCAACTCTCCCGAGTCAAAAATGTACTTCAGTGTCACGAGGACGCCGTGGAACAGCTAGTGGAAGCTAGTTAACGACAACAAATCCTGCGGGTGAGTTCTTCAATTGATCCTGACGACTCGCCCTGTCCCCCCGCTAGAAATGGGACCTCATCATCACATCCCACCGCGCCTGCTCTCCCGAGCGCGTGCGTGCATGCGCGCGCGTGGACGCGGAGAGCTGCTTGCACGGCCACAGGAAACGAGACAATAGCACCTCGGCTGGGCAGAAGGGGGGAGGCGGAGGGGTGTGAATAGGGGCTCGTGGAGAAGGAGGTAAGGACATAAATGCGGGGCGGGGGGGCTGTACAGGCCGGTGTCATCAGCTGAAGAGCTCACAGTTTATTGGGACCAGAAACACACTTTCATTACATAGAACATCATATGACAAATATGATGTTACAAGTCCACCTCAACAGATACATAAAAAATAAAAATAAAAAACACACATCTCTGACAATAAGAATACAATAACCCATCACACTATAGAGCTTGTATGTAGGCTTCTGTAGAGCTGTGGTACAGCTTATCATATTTGGGATAGGCTATGTGCTTTTATTAAAATAAAATATTAAATGCTGGACATACTCATACTCGTTCATACTCAAGTCTAATCCTCTAAAAAATCTACTAAGGCTTGTGAGTGACTTCTTTAATATGGCTTATTATAGGCATTATACTTTCTTCATAGTAGCTCCTGAAAACAACAAAGGTTAACAAAATACTGTTTGTGATATGTTCACAACAGATCACATTTCTATTTGTTTTATGAAAGAAACATTCTTCACATTCTGTGACTTTCATTTATATTTATATTTCATTTATATTTGCCTTGAAGGGTTCATGATATGTTCATGTCTATTACAAATTCTTTGGAGAATAACTGAACTTCCCATGGTGAGAGACTGTCCTTAGACCAACAAGTGACTTGTATCACACCATATGTGTAATAATAATAATTATAATAAACTTTATATATATAGGACCTTTCAAAACACTTTTGCAAAGTGCTTTACAATAAAAAAAAAGTATATTTAAAACAAAAATAAAATAAAGTGAAATAAAAGTCATCAAAACTAAACACATTAGTACAAACAGAATAAAATGACACTAAAATGGCATAACTGTACAAAGTCTAATCTTTTACCTACAGTGCAATACGGTAAGATGACAGTAAAGTGTCCCTTACACAACACACATACATTGGAATAACAACATAGTGATATTTTGGCTGATCAAAGTCCTGTCATAGCATTGTTACAATACAATCTTCATGTCTGAGGCTACCAAAAGATTTATTTTTAGCCAGGTGACAGGGCGGTGTTGGACAGATTCCCATTGTGTTAAGGCTGGCAAGGGTGTGTGTGTGTGTGTGTGTGTGTGAGCGACAGAGAGAGCGGCACTTGACAGAGGGGAAGTGGACTTTGGGGGTAGCGTCTGGCAGGCTGACCAGTCCACAATAGCAGCACGGAGGACAGGACATCCTGCTTACTGCATAAGCTGAACTTGCACTCGCATACACACAAACACACACACACACACACACACACACACACACACATTTAACATGCACACAAAAATACATTGCATATCACCAGATGTCTTTAGCCTCTTGATTGTTGGTATTAAAGGTCATGTGTTTAAAGAACTATGAGTCACACATTGTGATAAAAACATGTTTCCTTAATGACGTTTCATAACACGATTCCATTATTTTCCGTTGTTTAATCAGCTTCAGTATTGCTTTATTAGTTTACAAGTAATCATTTTTCAAATCTTCTGCAGGATTTTCCTGTAAATTTGGAAAAGATATAATTTTGGCAGCAGTGACCCTCTAGACCATAATGGGGGAAATCTCAAGGGTAAAAACCAATATTCAGATTGTATTCTCCTGATGGTCATGTGATATCTGAAAATTAGACAATAATTTCCTTTCAAACCCCATGACAAGCCTCTAGTTTCATCATTTTCTATGGCAGTGGCAATGGAAATTTTATTTATATAGCACATTATATGACAAGTTAACTCAATGTTTTTTTATGTTGAAAGACAAAATATAAAAATATATGAGAACATAAGTAACATAGGAAACATAACTGTAAGATTTTAAGAATGAGTAAGATACAGAGACTGAGTCAATGAACCATACACCCAACTAACATTTAACATACAGCACAGCAATAGAAACCGCTGCCCTATCACATAGCCGCACATGTTACCATGTAACTGCAAGAAACAGGTGCTACCATATAATTACAAACACAGTGATGGACCTCAAGTCAGCAGGCAGCTTTTTCCAGAGAGCAGGACCACAGTAACTGAAGGCACCCTCCCTAGACCTGGATCTAATTCTGGGTGCAGCTGGAACACCTCTGCCTGATGACCTGAGAGGCCTGATCGGGTTATAATCAGTGAGCAAGTCAGGAATGTCCTGAGGAGCCAAACCATTAAATGCTTTATACAATATTAGCAGGATTTTGAAGGTGATTCTGTATTGTACAGCCAGTGAAGTGATTGAAGTGCTGGAGTAATATATTAAAATTTTCTTCTACGTGTAAGGACTATGGCTGCTGCATTTTCAATGAGCCGGAGCCGACTTATTGATTGTGATAAAAAGTTCTTTTGGTGATATTGCTAATGTGATTTTCAGTATTGAGATCAGGTTATCAACGTCTATGAGGCTGCATGTAGACACAGCTGTGCCTTAAGCTAAATGCTAAACTCAGAACGCTAGCATGCTCACAATGCCAACATGTTGATGTTTTGCAGGTATAATGTTTAATAGGTCTTATCGAGCTGTTGTCTTAGCTTATTCTGTTAGCATGCTAACATTTGCTAATTAGCACCAAATACAAAGTACAGCTGAGGCTGATGGGATAAGTTTTGCAGGTAACTTATCAATGTTACAGTATTTGGCATTGGACAAACTGAAATATTGACCTAATGATCACCACAGTTATTACAATGTATCCTGATGGGAACATGAATGGCGAGATACTGCAAAGATCAGTAATAACAGTTACTAAAGTTTAAAGTTTTTGTGATTTCCACATAATCAAGTCTGACAAGAAAATTGTGCAACTACAGCGTGAAGCTGGTTGGCTGTGATGTACCGACAGTCAAAGCAGCCAACCGGGGCCAAAAAACAAAACTGATAAAAGTGAACGCCAAGGAGCAAAAACTGTTTTGAAATGTGATGATTAGATGAACCAGAAGACATGTAAGATTTGATTGGGTTGCATAAACATGCCCTAGTTCTTACACACACACACACACTCCTCCCTCCTTATTCTCTATGTTTGGTAACGGTAACTAAGCTGTGCTGCCCCTGCCAAGGCTTTGTGAGTCACACCAACCAGAACAAAGACCCCATTACTGCACCCCCGTCTACCCTCCCTCCATCTCCTCTCTTCTTCGACCTCTCTCTCCCTCCTCTAATGCAATGATGAGTGCATTTCCTTTGCTGTCCTCCCATTGCCTCAGTCCATCCTCTCATTCACTGGCTCCAGGAGGGTTTAGGGGCAGCCCCGTCGTGCCATACATACCTCTGCCCTGACAACAGAGCAGGACTAAGGCAGAGAGGCAGTACAACACAGGAGTCTTGAGCTTTATAGACTTTGTAGACCGATATTAACATGAACTGCAGTAAGGTGTCCTAAGTGTGTGTGTGTCTATAGCTGACCTTAGCCCTTACAAGCCAGCATTCAGCTCTGAACTGATTAGAGATCCGCTTATATCCACAGCACAGCGGATCAATGCTGCTGGCTGTGACTGAGGCCACAGAGGGAGACCATAGACTCTCTACAGATGGACATCGAGCAGCAGCTGTTTACCCCACAGCACTGATAGGTGCAGCATGAGCAGCCATGGGTGAGCAGACTGACCTGTGAGCTGACCCCGGCCTGTGCAGACGGAGCAGGCTGTTTGTCACTGTGATGTAATGAGCTGATGTACCTGGTGTGCCTCGGAGTACATACACTTAAAAGTCAACTGTCAAACATTTGACCAGTTCATTTCCAAACATGCATCTCCTTGGCAATATCTCCTTGTACAGGACTTTTCAACAAAAAGGCAATTAAAAGTGCTTTACATAAGACATCAAGAAACACAAGGCAAAATAAAAAGTCAAATTTAACTAGGATTTAAAAAAAGATCAAATAAAATAGAAGATTAAAAAAGGCTGAAACACAATAAGTTTTGAACAAAAAAAAATTTAAATTACAATTCAACACAAGATGTGGGGTCTGCTTTCCTGGTTTTGGTGGGGACAGCAGCGTTCTGAATTAGCTGCAGCTGTCCGATAAATTTTTTAGAGAAACCTGTAACAGTAGTTGAGCCTAGTGAAGTTTTTCTAAATCCTGCTGAGACATCAATGCTCTAATTCTTGATACACTAATTATAGACGGATTTTGTAATTGTCTTAATGTGGCTATTGAAATTTAGGTCTGAATCCATGACTACCACAAGATTTCTGGCCTGATTTGTGGTTTTTTATGTGAACAATGACTTATTACAGACTTTTACTTATTTGGCTCCAAAACAACTATTTCAGTTATATCTTTGTTTAATTTAAGAATATTTTGGCACATCCGATGATTAGTTTGTTCAATGCACTTGCTCAGTGTCTTTCTGGAACCATAGTCACCTGGTGATGTCATTATATATATCTGTTTGCCATATGCATAACTACGGTAAGATATTTTGCTGTTTTCCATCATCTGCATTAGTGGGAGCATGTGGATGTTAAACAGAAGAGGCCCGAGCATGGAGCGTTGGGGAACTCCACATGTCATTTTTGTACTTTCAGATGTGTAATTACCGATCGACACAAAGTAGTCCCTGTACTTCAAATGGGATTCAAACCCATCTGCACTGTGCCAGAAGGTCCCACCCAAATTTCCAGATGTCTAATCGTATGTTGGGGTCTACTGAGATCTACTTTTGCGCTCAGTGTGGTGTGGTGGAAATCCTGACTGGAAAACATCACAACAATTGTTTATGGCCAGGGCAATGTTTAGTTTTTGAAAAACAGCCCTTTTCAGGACAAATGGGAAATAGGCCTCATAAAGAGCCTGCAGTGAGAACATGCAGGAAGCAGCAGGAGGATTACAGATGTTATGCAACTTCTTCCATGGTTTCATAAATGATTAGATCAAATTGTGTCATGCTAATTGACACAATTTGATTTGAACTGAAACAAATACCTGACATAATTGAATAATTAAAAATGACTGCTTGTCTTATTTTCCGAATTTTGTCAGTGAATGTGAATGAGGCATATTAATTGCATGACTTAATGGTTAAAAGTTCAGGGGCTACTGACACAGGAGGGTTTTCAGCGTGTCAACAGTAGCAAATACAGTATGTGCATTATTATTGTTTTAGGCACAGATGTCAGAGAATAAGGACTGCCTACACAGTCAGAGTCAATGCAGATGATTAAAAAAGTTTGCACTGTATTTAGGTGGCCTTTAAATGCTTAATGCTAAATATCCATAAAACATCTACTTGCACTGGACAGAACTAATAAACAAATTGGCATCATAACTTATTTTCTTATGCGTGCTAGCTTTGCTAGATGGTGACTCAGTAAGAACTGTTTTCTTGGTCAAGTTTCAGTGAAAAACACAAAATCAAAGCATTTTTTGTGACAGGGTTGAAGATGGTTGTGGATGAGGAATGGATATCAAAGTTGATAAATCGTGCAGATTTGACGACTGAATTTAGTCCACCCTCCTTTTTCTATTACCTATCAAGACGAGAATAAATGAAGCTCAGGGGGAAACTGGCATGACTTGAGAGGATAATTGAATTTAGTTCAACTCATGCTTTATCGGTGTGATACAGAAGATAGAGGACCTATGTCGGCAGGCCTGTATGCTGAAAGACTGAGGTCATAAGTCAAAGTACTCCCAATATCCCCCAAAGACACCAAGTAAAAACTCTTTAATGTATTTATTGGATTATAGCATGATGTCATGACTTACTGGGACACTTAAATAGAACAGAGCAATTATCAGATGTCTGCTGTGAAAAAGGCCTATATCAGAAGGAATGCAGTAAATATATATTACAAGAAGTAAAAGCACATTTTGACAAAATGGTGCATCTCACCACTGCATCCAAACACTGACACATTTACACAGTCCAAAGGGGGGTGCTAGAACTGCAAGTCAAATGGAGAGGACATTCTGTACAGCATGTTAACGATTGGCCAAAAGATCAGCTGCAGTGTTTTATTAATGGGGAACAACATGTTTGTGATGAATCTAATAGTCATCTGTTTTTTAATGCATTATTTTTGTAACTGATTATCACAGCGCCTAGTCCTTCAAAGTCTGCAGTGCACAAATCATTTTTGACTTGTTGAAGAGGACAAACAGGATCTATTGCTATTTTTTAAAGACTGACCTCCCACATTGACAGCACCAGTGTCAAAGTACAAGACGCAGAGCTACCGCTGCCAAACGCGCAGTGTCATGGGGCGGAAGCTTCCACTAGTGTTCCTCACACCTCTTCACCCTGTTGCTCCTCGATTTTCAGCCATAATTGGTTAGTTCCAGGAACACTTAAAGTCGCAGCCACACACACACACACACACATACAAACCAACATACTCTGAAGCAGCCAAATTAGCTTTAGCCTTCTGCACTTTGTCAAGGGCTACTTACAGACAACAGACTATGTCAAATGCAGACTCAGTTGTCTGCTTCCCTCTGCTGGACATAACACACACTACAAAAAAACCCCTACTGAATTAGTGAAGCAAAGTGAAACTGTTTACTCACCTTAAACTTAAATCATACAGTGTGTCTACAATAACTCTATACTGGGAGTTTTTCTCTCATTTAATCTGGTCATTTGGGTCAGAGCAGATGTTTCTCAGCAGTGACTGTGGTGTATGATGTGGTTGATATCGCAGACTTTCCTCCAAAAATCACAAAAGTTTTCACACAAGATGTACACTTTTGATCTTTCATATCCTCAGCTACACATTTGCTGAGGAGGATGATTGTAGTGGCTGATATCTGTCTCGTGCCCTCAAACCTAAAGCCCTGTTTTTGTGGCATTTGTCCTATCAGCTTGACCTCAGTTTGACTCATATATAGATACAAATGCTTGTGTGTGTGTGTGTGTGTGTGTGTATATATATATATATATATATATATATACACTCATATGTATGTATATAAAAAGCAAATGTGTGTATTATCTGTACAGTAGCTATGGTTGACAGACAAGTTAAGCCAAAATCTTGCTACTGAGCCATCCCAGTTGGTAAGCAAAAGAGACATGAACACAGAAAACATCTTTTAAACATACTTTAGAGACTGTGAAGAGCAGCGTTGAATGTAATTCGACTTAAGATTTTGCGGTGTGCTGCCATACCACCAACATTTGTTCCTCCGGCTGCAGGATGAGCATGTTTACAAAGAGAATCACATCATTATCTCTTACAGTTGAAATGTAAGCTCAGCATACTTCACAAGCATCTCAATGTAAACTGAGGAAACCTTTGGTTGAAACACACAGCCACATTTCACAAGATCTATGCACCAGCGGTACCATGTTCATCTTACTACACATTATATGTCTTTAGTAGATACTGTAGTTTGTGTTTTTATGGTGGAATGGCCTCCACATTAAAGTGGAAACTAACTTTTAAAGAAGGAACAACACACTATTTCTTTTACAAATGAAAAGTCAAGTTCCAAAATAATAAAATTCAGCACTTTTTCTATTTGATACTTTCAGGAGTCTTGTAACTACAGCCTCACTTGATCTGAATAGACAAGTCGCTTATGGTAACTAATGTTGCCTAATTTTAGTTAACTTTAGTTAGACATCATAGTCTTGCTTTAATGCCCATATAAAGTCAAAATATCTACCACATGTATTATATATACATATAATATATGTATTTATTATATAAATAAAATAAAGAACAAATAGACAATAGCTTAGATTGAATTCACAAAATTTCAAGCTTTTAATGAAAGAAGCTCTTTCTCCTCTGATGTTTGCTATGGAGAACAGCATAATGCAGCCATAGATTCACCAGCCATAATGTCCTCCTCAGGCAAGAGGAGAAAGGTGGAGGGGAGGGAACAGGCACTGGGCCCAGAGAGGGAGTTTGAGAGTTTTGTAGTGGTGGGAGGAAAGGCTGAGATTGGGTGTACTGCACAAGTTTTAAGTGGAGCAAGAACAACAGTTCTAGCAGCACAAGTATCCGGACCAGGCTGCAGCTGAGGTGCGCCCAGCGAGAAGTCCTGAATCTCCGGGTCTGTTGAGGCCAGCGTGACACCAGCGTGGCCTCCAGTCCCAACAGCCCTAGCAGGAGCAGTGAGGCCAGGTGGTGAGCATCAAGCAGCTGCTGACAGAGCAAGCTCACAGCCTCCCTCCACCAAATTGATTCCTCCTGCTTCATGAGGCCCATCGTAATCTCACAGCCCGCCTCCTCCATCCACCAGGCCAGTATCACTCCCAGATGAAGCATCCAGTGCAGCAGCACAAGACTGTCTGTAAGAGCCAGCTGGCGCAGGAGCACAGTGGAGGGCTTGGTTGAGATGCGAGGGGAGCGAAGCAGCAGCAACGCCCGCAGGCTGAACATACAGGCCACCAGCAATGCGAGGCCTGCACTGTGGGGGAACAGCAGCACAGTCACCAGCTTCAGCAGCAAGAACCGACGCAGCCATCCTCTACAGGACGAGAGCCCTCCTCTTGTGAATGAACCAGGCCAGCCCCAAGAACTTATATCCCAGACTGATATAAAACTTGGTTTGATCTGCAGAGTTCAACACACAGAGGTTAGCTCAATGATGATGCTCCTGTCTTATTTTAAACAATCTCTTCAGTATAAATATTCAGCAGGTCTATCTGCTCCACCCAAAAGTGCAAATATTGACACACACACAGGTGGTTTATCTCCTCCACATAACACCTTTGTCCTTTTCATGACTATAGACCCGGGAACGCAAACAAGCCATCAATAAATTATAGAGGAGCCTTTTAAACAGCATATGGCACACCATAGGACTTTAATTATTGTATGTATAATTCAGTTTATGGAAGGCAACAGTTAAAGACAGTCAGTCAGTATATTTTATATCAGGCAACATGATGAATGAATGAATGAACAAATGCAGTGCATTCCACAAAAGCTATGGATATTTCATTAAATTTGATACATTTAACTCTTATTAATCTTTTGATTAAGTAACAGAAGGAGTGCTCTCTAACTTCAAGAAGCCATCCAATGTGGATGTCTGTGTTGTTAATGTCCTAATATTTAAAGAGATTCGCCATATCCCAAAAATTCATAGTTCAACGGCTGATTTAATAAACATGTGTATCTACTTTTAAACAAAGAATCTTTTTTCTGTGGGACTCACCTGTGTATTGGCAGGAAGTTGAGACTGAAAGTCATTGTTCTGGTTCACCTGGATTTGCTCTGATAGCTTCCCCCCCCCCATGCCATCCCTTCTTCTCAAAGAGGCTGAATGAGAGTCTGCGAGGAGTCCCTTCTGTCTTCTCTTAATCAATGCCGGTTGCTTCACCTCAACTGGATCAGTCTGGAAATGTGATCATGTTTCATCTGGAGGAAAGCCAGACTTCATCTGACTCATGGTGGTGGAGAATCTATGCCTGAGGGGTTTCCCTGCGTTGCTGACATCAGTGTAAACCTGTCAGTTTTTCCACGCAGTGCAGAGCCTAAAAAGGAGCTTTGTGTGGGTGGGCTGTGCCAGGGAGTGAGTTGCCAAGATGCCTTGCGTACATTCAGAAAAAGAACAAGGTACCGCTGGTGGAGAACCTTTAATAGTGACTATCAAATCATCATAGATTCACAAAACTAGATGGCTCATTACAAACATAGGTATTGAATAATTTATGCTGCTGTGGGTGTATGTGCTGTCAGTATTTTGGATACTGTTTTAGGACAGCAGGTGTGGTGAAACACACAACCGTATCCACAACAACTAGGGTGTGATCACCATGCTAACCGGCCTTTGTTATTGCTACCAAAGAATGTGACTCTCGTGTAAACTGACTAACCACTTAACTCACTCTGGCGTTACAGTTTGCATTACTTAAATCATTAGTTGTTGCACTGATGGTTGACTGGGAACAGTTGGTTTTAGTTTGGGACACATACACACACACACACACACACACACACTTTATGGTGTTTCAGAGGCCAGGTGTGTGAGTGAGGTGTGTATCACACAACATGTGTGTGTGTGAGCTCTGATATGGACATGTTATGTAAAGTGTTAGAATGGTCAGAATGGAGACAGGACATCATGGCATGGTGTGTGTGTGTGTGTGTGTGTGTGTGTGTGTGTGTGTGTGTGTGTGTGTGTGTATCCATGAGTAACCACCATGAGAGGGAATTTATCTTGCACAATGACTTGCACAATGAATTTATCTTGCACAATGAATGAGAACAACGTACCATGATGAAAGAGCTGTAACTGGAATTAATATTATACTAGTATGATAGGATACTATTATCTGAAATTATAATGAATACACTTATATTAGCTCTAATCAAATCATAACAAGACAGAAAATGGTTATATTTCAGAATCAGCTGAATTGTTGAATCTCAACTAATAATTGAAATGTTACAAATACTACAAAAAATCTGTAGGCAGACAATCACCAGATAGAGTTTAACCTATAAATATATTAGTATTATACTAACATAAAACTTTTTACTTAATGTTATAATATTATACTAATACACTAATTTATAATCCTCCTCCAGGTAGATAGAGCATCTGCAGTACACACCTTTGTAATGGGAATTTCCATCAGTACCATCTCCAAACACAGTCGTGTAATTAACATTACTCACAGAGGGCCTTTACGATGTGTCAAGGAGGTCATGTCTCTTATTGTTTTACAACATATACCTGGCTGGACCAGGACATGAATGTCTTTATGATAGATTTAGTGTGAGTCTCCTCTATAGGACCTCTTAAAGACTACGTGTTTCAGTGTTAACTTTTTTTTCTCTTTTATCTTCGCCTTTGTATTTAACACTAAACCCCATTCTCTGAACCAAATGCTCAGTGGCCTAAATCCATTTGTTCAACTCTTTTGGCAAAACCTTAAACAAGTTCAGGTCGTTAAGACACTGTTTGCAAATCTCATCCACTTTTCTTGCAGAACTCTAAATACATTCTCACTCACTAAAACACATTTTGCACTGTGATGCACTTGTGTTGCAGAATGGTAAATACATGTGGCAAAAGTTAAACTAACTACAACACAGCTGTCATCTTTTACACACAACTCATTCTGCACACTTGTTTCTAATCATGCGATCAAATAAAAATGTGGTCAATTCTAAGTGGTGGTTCAACGTAAACCAGCAACCAGTGAATCATAAATGCTTACCTTCAACCTACAGCCCTTAGGCTACTTCAATCCAACAGAAGAATCTTTCTCTGCCTGATGGTGGAAGGTCTATGACTGAAACTCATTTACTACGGAAAATCTCTTACAGGCAATGGAATTGGCCTGTGGTGAGATGTGTGAGGAGTGTTGTTACAGCAAGGCAGCATCCAGCACTTCTGAGGGTTTTTCTCCTTTGCTTGGTTAAGGGACAAGGTTGCATGTTATGTGGATGAAGTCTCTTACAGTTTTTCCTCGATTGTTTACACACATTTTCTGAAATAATGTGTCATTCTCAGAACTCTACATACAAATAAAAAATAAAAAAACACACACGGCAAAACAATGTTATTTCTCCTCTAAATGGTATTTTGTTTTCAAATGACACAAACCCTCATATGAATAGACATAAGAACCAGTTGAACACTGATGTGCTCAATGGAAAACACTATGATGAATGGAAAACACTTCTTCTCCATTCATCATAATGGCTTAGGCCTTTTTTTATACTCAGAACACAAATACATTTTATTTGTCCCACAAAAACAATGTACACAGCGTACATCCCATTCCCAACCAACACAAAGTTGCACATACAAAGAATAATTTACTGTACACAGTTACAGTAAAAAAAAAAATATATATATAAATAAAAAACTATGCTGCATCCTCTCTTCTGTTGCGGTCTGGCCACATCACCTCATCCACATCACAAGCAATGTTTTCCCTGGCCAAGCAGCGGGGGAAATATCGCCTAGCATGGCGATTCCAGCCATGAAAAGCATCAGCTGCTATATCTCCACATGCATCCTCCATAGCTTGGTGAAGAGGTATACGCGTTTGTGGATTTCGGTCATACACTTTCCATCTCCAGGCAGAAAAAAAATTCCTCAATAGGATTGAGGAATGGAGAATATGGAGGGAGATAAACAACTCAAAAGCGTGGGTGGGCAGTGAACCAGTTACAAACCAGAGCAGCCCTGTGGAAACTTACGTTGTCCCAAATGACAACGTACCTAAGCTGCTCTGGGCCATCTACCTGATCTGGTGGAATGAGTGTGTTGTGTAGGGTGTCCAGGAACGTGATCAGATGGGCGGTGTTGTAGGGGCCAAGGGTAGCATGGTGATGGATGACGCCGTGGTGGCTAATCGCTGCACACATTGTGATGTTCCCTCCGCACTGGCCAGGGACTTCAACAATGGCACGCTGGCCGATGACATTCCTTCCCCTCTTTCCCTGCTTCATCCTGAGATGATTTCTGCGCAAGACACGGTCCAGTGTTGATAAGCTTACCCTATCAATATTTTGAAATATGTCATTGTTTTCCATTATTTTTCTTTGTATTTGCTGTAATGTTATGGCGTTGTTTTCTAGGACCATGTTTATGATTTCAGTTTCCTGTTCAGGAGACAGAAGACATTCCCGACCACCTTGTGTTGGTAATCTTTCAGTTCTGCCAAACAAATAGTAAAATACTGTAAATACAAAGTAGGTATACATTTCCTAAATACTTGAAACATACTTTACAGTATTTTTACAGTCCTACAGAACAGTCCACAGGCAATACTATACTACTGTACTCATTGAGTACTGTAGTGATATGCAGTACTGCAATTTGCTAGTGAGAGTAGATTTCTTACCTATTCTCATTTCGGAAAGTCCGGATAATGGATGCTACAGTGTACCTGCTCAGATCTGGCTGTACTCTTTGCCCAGCCTCCCTCATTGTTAGACCATGGTTGACCACATGATCAACCAAAGTGGTCCTTGGCCGTCCCCGTCTTACTCTCACTCCTCTGGCTCTGCCTCTGTTTCCAATGTTGGCATCCATTGCTCCATTGAAGAGCTCACCTTTTGCACTTTTATGCTAAAGCTCTGATTGCTAATTGGAAAACTGTGTGACGGGTGTTTGCCCTTGTGATGAGTCAGTGTGCATATTTGAATGGCAGTGTGTTTCTTGTGAAAACAAGATATTTTCTGCATGAAACCTGTGCCAAAAGCAGAGAATTGTGTGTAGTGTTTTGAAAAAAGTGTGTTTTAGAACTACAATTTGAGTGTAAAGCAGGAATTGTGCTTATAGTTTAGCAGAATTGGTTCAGGGGGTTGGTGAATGAGTTACATGTTGTGGTCATTGTGTCTCAAGTACCAGAATTTGTGTGTAAACAATTGAGAAAAACTGTAATGTATTGACTTTGATTTTGCAGTTGCTCAACATTTTTTGAGTGTAATTTGCTTTCCATTTATAGTTTTCTTTGTTGCTTACTGTATTTGAATATACAGATATTCAATACTGTATTACTTATAGTATTTACAGTATACTACATATTTACTGTACTAACTTGGGATTACTGTACTTTTTAAATTGGAAAATGTGTTTCCTCTACGCAAAACTATTTTTCTGAAACTACATGCCCTGGATGCTGTGTTCTCAATTTTTTGATGTAGTGTCCAAAGAATGCTCTGTAGTGTTTTACATATTGACTGGCTGTGTTTAAGTTTTGAAAGCATTGTTTGATTTTGAGCACAGATCAAATGGTTTTGAGGTAAGTGTTTGATTTTGCCAGAAGGTTTTGTGAATGTAGTTTAAAGACTGGGTTTTGTGTTTAAAGTTTTGAGAATATGGGTGAAGCTTTCAAGAAATGTGTCTTAACAATTGTGAAAAACTATTATTGTATTATTATTTTTAAGGGTCCCAGACCCAAGTGAATTCCACTGTGCAACAGTAAGGTCCCAGACCTATAAGAACATTTATTGACTATAGTACAGTGATGTGAAAGTGTTTGTCTACTTCCTGATTTTTTTTCATGTTTGTCACACTGAAATATTTCAGATCATAAAAAAAATTGAAATATTAGACAAAGAAACACAAGTAAACATAAAATGCAGTTTTTAAATGAAGTGATTTCCCCCTAAACCTAATAACTGGTTAGGCCACCCTTAGCAGCAACAACTGCAATCAAGCATTTGTGATAACTGGCAGTGAATCTTTGCCACTCCAAAGTCTTCATTTTGTTTTTCTTAAGCTCCGGCCATACTCGCTTTTTAACAACGCACAGGTGTAGACAGGCGTAGATGACAAACGGCATTGTCCACGTACTTGCCTGCATACTTTGCATGTACCTGGAGAATTAAACGTGAATC